ACTGGGTCCTCCCTTTAACTCGAGAACACCGAAGTAATCGCCTTGAGTGGTGCAGACAACGGTCACTCTGGGATCTGGAATGGAACAGTATTGTCTTTAGTGACGAGTCTCGATTTTGTTTAAGCAAGCACGATGGTCGTGCCAGGGTTAGAAGGCGACGTGGTGAAAGGAGGAATCCACAGTTTTTTGTTGAAAGACATGTTCATCACACTGTTGGAGTTATGGTTTGGGGTGCTATAGCTTATGGTTCCAGGTCACCTTTAATCTTCATCAGAGGTAACATGAACGCGCAGCGTTATATCCACTAAGTTCTAGAACCCTTACCCTATCTTGACACCCTGGCAGATCCAACTTTCCAACAAGATAATGCCCGACCACATGTTGCAAGAGTCACAATAGACTTCTTTCAGCATAATGATGTCACATTGTTACCATGACCACCAAGATCTCTCGACTTATCCCCAATTGAGCACGTGTGGGATATGATGGATAGGAGATTGCTCAATTTGCAACGTCCTCTTCAGACTCTAGAAGCACTTCGAGAGGAGTTGGTGGTTGCCTGGAATGAGATACCACAGGAGGACATTGACCACCTGATCAGAAGCATGCCTAGGCGCGTTGGAGAATGCGTAGCACATCAGGGTGCATCCACACATTATTAAAGGTCAAAGGGCTTTAAAGCAGTGCAATCATTTTGAAATTTTTATCATTTACTTATTATGCTTCATTAAGTACTTATACAAAATTTTATTAAAATAAATCAATTTAAACTGGGTGTTCGGATTTATATGTCACTTAGTATATCTGAAGGATGATAATGGTGATAAGTGTAGCAGGATTAAATATAGGCATGACTGTAACAAAATGGAAAGTAACATATGAAACTCACGCTGTCGTTTTATTATCCATTGGACATTGAAGATAATGTAAAAGGATTCCAAAAAAATACAAACATACAAAATGTGAAAAAAACTTTTAACACACATTAACAGATTTTAAAACTGAAAATATTATATTCATCGACCGGAACTCTTAACACCCACCATACATCGAATGACGCACTTTTGGCTCAAATGTACTAATTCGTCCTTAGCTGAAGAGTCCCAAAAGCATAACGCATAGCATACAGACTCAATTTGTGCATAATTCAACACCAATCACGGTTTTCATTAATCTCATACATAAGTTAATTTAGCTTGCTGCTTTCATGTTTACAATGCGATTGGAAGCTAACACAATGACAAAGGTACAGCCCCAAAAACGTCGTCTCCACATTAGTCTTAAGAGTACTGTTATGAAGGTTAAACCACATACAAGGCGAGTTATTAGTGTGGGCTCCGTCGAACGTTACTACTCGTGTAATTTTTGCTAACAAAAACTAGTCTCTTTTGCCCAGTAACACACCTCTCGGAATTTTACTACAAATGCGAAAATAAAAAATTCGCCAATTCGGCTTGAAAAACAAGCCTAAGCGATTTAGAAAAAACTAATTTCAAAATACTCGAACTTCAATTTAGATACTTGGTAACCCCAAAAATTACCATTTTTAACACATTTTTTAAGCAAACGGCACCATAACCCAAATCGAAGTTGCTTTAAAATTCTTTTAAACAAATTACAATTTTTTGCACAGGCCAATCTTTCCACATTTTGTTGGAAAAGGCTTCCAGTAACTTTGACTCTAACCATTTCCAAATTGTAAGCGTTTCAATATCTGAAAAGCCATAAAAATGTGCATAGATACGTCACTACTGTTTTTCCCCTGTAGATCCCTGGACAAATTAATACTCCCTCAGAACGCATTCCTGAATATCGTCTAGTGCTGACACAAATTCAAATAACACTGGACAACAAATTTTAGTTTTTTAATTGTATCTTGTGGGAAAAGTGCACTTCTTTGTTAATTTTGGGGCGCTGAATCCAAAAATGATAATGAAATAAAAAAATTAGTTGCGGTTTAGAAAAAACACTTTTAATTTTTAAGGATATATTAAAAAAAGTAACAAGATTCATATACTTACAAGAATCACTATATGCTGCTTTTTGCTGTTCTTTTATGGATCGTTTCTGGAGCATCTCTACCAAGAGTCCAACAGTAGTCTGCAAGCATGGAAGGATTCCACTTTCCCTGGTACCTTTTTTCCATTGTTGAAATATTCTGATGAAAACGTTCGCCGTGCTCATCACTTACGGCTCCGCAATTGTCAGGAAAAAAGTCCAGGTGTGAGTGTAGAGACATATTACAGCCCATCTTTTGATACGATGACAGCATATTTTTGACAAGGGTTTTATAGTTGTCAGCTTTTCTATTTCCCAAGAAATTAGTGACCACCAGACGGAAATCATTCCAAGCAGTTTTTTCAATACCTGTTAAAGTGTTTTCAAACTGCGTATCTTTCAAAATATTTCGAATCTGTGGCCAAACAAAAATACCTTCTTTAACCTTTGCCTCACTTAGTCTTGGAAATTTCTGACGCAGGTATTGAAAAGCTGACCCATCTCTATCTAATGCCTTGACAAAGTTTTTCATTAGACCCAACTTGATATGCAGTGGTGGTAATAAATTTTTTTTCGAATCTACTAATGGCATATGCTGTACATTTTTTTGACCTGGCTCTAGGAATTGACGAACAGGCCAGTTTTTTCTGGTGTAATGAAGTGCCTTTGCCCGACTGTCCCATTCACACAAAAAACAACAAAACTTTGTGTAGCCTAGCTGCAGCTCAAGTAAAAGTGCAACAACTTTCAAATCGCCACAAATATGCCATTGGTGCTCATCGTATTTTATGCATGTCAATAGGTACTTCATATTGTCATATGATTCTTTCATGTGAACTGCATATCCTACAGGAAGAGATGGTAAAATATTTCCAGTATGCAATAACACTGCCTTTAAACTCAATGTTGAACTGTCTATAAACAATCTCCATTCTTCTGGGTTATAGTTTATATTTAAAGCCGCCAGTAAGCCGTTAATGTTACTGCAGAAAACCAAGTTATTCTCCATATTGAAAAATGGTTCTAAGTCTTTGTGGCGTTTACGAAAAACACATACCGAAACATCGTCTTCTAACAAGTTCCACTGCTGCAGTCTTGATCCAAGTAACTCTGCCTTACATTTTGGAAGTTCTAAATCTCGTACAAGATCATTTGATTCTGACTGTGTTATTTTGTGCGGTTGGTGGCATGACGTGCTCGGTATAAAATCAGGATCTCTTGACGTTGATGGCATATCTTCTTCCTGACGAATCACTCGATCGCCATGATCTGATTCGTTTTCTGATTCGCAAGTGTAGGATTCTGGGGGTTTTGGAATAGGATTTTCGTCACTGTGAGGCACAGGTCTCATCGCAGATGGTATGTTTGGGTAGTTAATAACCGATTTTTTTTTCTTGGACATACCTGTGGCTTGTCCAACACAAGGTACCATGCAAAAGTAACAATCATTAATATGATTTGTAGGCTCTCTCCAAACCATTGGGACAGCAAAGCGCATAAACCGTTTTTTGCCATTTAACCAGCCCCTCAGACTTGAAGCACATGTATTACAGCAGATGTGGGGTGCCCACTGTTTGTCTTGATCACCTAGTTTACAACCGAAATAAAGCTGATATGCCTTTGTTATTAGTGGAGTAATAGACCGTCTCTGAGACGCAAAAGTCACATCACCACACACGTAACAAAACTGATCTGGATTGTTTACACACTTTCGAGACATCTTGCATGAACGCTGTCAGCCAACTGAGGAAAAAATGGCTAATATAAAACAATATAATGTACACGTATGTATAACGTAACACAATCATGCCGATTACATCATCTTTCCTTGCCGAATATAAAAATGTAGCACGTGCATTCTTGTGAATTACAGTATATTAACACTGTCACAGCAGGAACACATATAATTACCGTATCTCTAAAACTTGAACTAATATTGAAAAAATAAGTGACATTCCGGTTTTAGCACATTAAGAATAGTAATATTTTGTTAATTTTATTTAGGATATTTTTTGGCTGTTGATCAGTGTAATTTCATTCAATAAGCCGTATTCACAAAAGAGAAGCATATCCGCGGAAGCATAAGGTAAAAGTATAAGGTCTTGCTCCGGAGGAAAAGGTAGAAGTATAAGCATATCCTTGTTTTCATATTCATAATGATTGCCTTATACTCGCGAGGATATCCTCCAAGAAGAAGTAAAAGCCTGACCGGTATTTGTATCTTGAGCGACATGTCCTGATTTGTACCAGCTTATAGTTGACGTGGGAGTTCGTTCACTCAGCATCACTGTCAGTTGTACTCCAGAGCTTACACAGACCGTTCCGTATTTTTACTGGACACTGTTGATGAGGAGACTATATATAATGTCAAAAAACGACATGCTTTCGAGATACGTAATGCCCCTGCAGATCAAAATGAACAATATTGTATATTCATATGTCTTCCAGATTCCAATCCGTGGTTTTTTTTCGCTACTCCTGGTAACCGAAATGCCAGTAAAAGCTTATTTCTACATACAATAAATTGATACCAGCATTGAACTCCTTTCCAATATTGGTCAATTTGGAATTAACATTGCTATTTGGCAATAGCTATTTTTATCCATTGTTTCAAAAAATTTACCTCTATGAGGTCTATTCTTGACAACGGGAGAGCAGAATTACCAGTACAAAGTGTCATCACCTTTGCTGGCAGCTTTTGAAATTTTTCACAATATAATTTATTGCACTCGCTGACATTGATTTTTTGTTACAGGTAAAGCTCCATATACAATGAAGTCATAGAAAACATTAATTTACTAGAGTAAGTAACCTACCTACTTTTTGTGATATTTATGACCATAAACATATGAAACTTGGCTTTTCTACACAGTATATCATTTGCGACATTCACTAAAGTACTTTTGAGCTCTACAAATATAATTGGATATGAACCGTATCAACCCACATCCACGGTAGACGTCAATTCCCAAAATCTTTGACATACGCGACAACGTGGCAACAGCGCATAGTCTACAAACTGCGACCTGAGACGAGCGAGAATCATCTGCTCCAGGCGACAGTGGAATCGATAATAACATTTTGGGCGGCATAGTAACAAGTTATTACAAACCAGATATTGTTTTAAGTACCTTGTGATGTGTTGACGACTGACGAGTTAATGTGAAAGTAATAATATTTATTCTGGGTAAGATATTGCTGCTTCAGTAATGTTGTTATATCCGGTCATACTTTGTGGTTAGGATCACATGATCGACGTTGCCAGATTGACAACTAGGTTTTTCTTGAAACAGTTCAGGCGTGCGGTTTTCGCGTTTCATCCTACAATATTTCCGAATTAAAACTATGCCTCACGTATACAGGGTGTTCAAAATGTTCGAATACGACAAATAATCTCAAAGCGCGAGTATAAAAGAAGCTCTACCCTGGAATATGTATAGAATCTTCTTCCAGCTATCTGACGGGCACCTTGAATTTGACGTTGGCCTTCATGGTCATTTAAAGGACAATTTTTATAAATAAAAGCATAGTGGTAAACTTCACGCACAGATGGACACATGTTTTTTTTACTATAGTTGAACAACCACGAATGCCTAAAGCCTAAACACACCTATGGGTACAGGGGACAAGAGCCACACGCACTTTTGCGACATGTAAACGTTCTGGCCCCTCCTTAGAGATCCGCCGGGTAGTACCTCCTCGTTCGACAGTCAAAGGCCGTATACCACCTAAGGGGAATGGAACAAGGGAACTGCTAATATTGTTTAAGTACTTAAAGGCTTCTCCTTTTTAACAAATAATTCATGGGTCCTAGTGTCATCTTTTTGTAATGAATAAAATAACCATAGAGTAATAGAACTTTTTTTAGATGCATGGCTTTCGAGATTATTTTATCGATTGTATAATTATTATACCTTGATCAGAAAAATATTTTCGAGGCCTCGCCCAATAGTAACATTTTCCACTTTATCGATTTCTCGTGTTGAAAGTAGTGATAAGACGTGGTTATAATTAATGATTCAATTAAAAAAAATTAAATCGTGGAAACAGGGGGTCAAGGTTTTTGAAAAAGCGTTTTTCATTAATATGTCAAAGATACTTGTTCCGATTTGTGTGGCTCATTGATGTACAGGAATGGACAAAAGTATATAGACAAATTAATTTTGTGCTGAATTTCTTTTCTAACTTGTTTTATTAATTCACCAACCCGTATACATAATTCGTTGTAGCATAATACTCGTTTATACATAAATACAATCGTTAGACTCCCTTCAATAAAAAATTAATTGAAAAAAACTGGAACTATGAGGGACAAAAATATATAGACAAAGCAAAACAATTATAGAAAAAAGAAGCAAAGTTCATTGAATTATAGAAAACCAACCATGTATGTGTTCATATTTTGTAGCATAACCATTATTATCAATCACCGCCTGGCATCGTCTCCGCATAGATTGTAGAAGTTTCTTGATATAAGATTCATCAATCTGTCTCCACTTTTGCTCTAAAGCGGCAAAAAGTTCATCCTTGTTTGAATAATTTTTATCTCGTATTTCCATAGATTTTCAATAGGGTTTATATCGCGAGACTGTGAAGGCCATTTGAGAACTGGTATTTTTCCATCCAGAAAGAATTTCTTTGCGAAATTTAAGTGTGACCCGTCATTATGTTGCTGGAAGATTGATATTAGGGGCATATTGTCTTCCATATAGGGTAACATGACATGCTTTAGTATGTCTGTGTATACAAACTTATCCATAATGCCATCCATTCTATGTAAAGGTCCCATCCCAAACCCCGAAAAGCAACCCCAAACCATAACAGACCCGCCTCCATGTTTGAAAGTGGGCAAAGTGTACTTGGGGTTCAATCTTTGTCCACAAGGACGTCTAACGTAATGAACACCATCTGATCCACATATTGAAGTTGGATTCGTAACTTCAAATCATTTAATCTTCTACTTATAGTTTTCGTAGAAACACTGACAATTCCTTTTGTCACGATTTCGGCTTTTATTTGTCTTGGGGTTTTAAACGGACCTTTGGACGAAATTACTTTTTTTAATCTAACTGATCTAGCATTTAGTTTTCTAGGCCGACCACTTCTCTTAGAGGCTTCCAGGATACCTTTTTGTTTATACTTGTTCAATATTGCCCAAACTGCTTCACGCTTCAGCTTCAAATTTTTAGCAATGTCGACTTGACGTTGACCATCTGGACCGCGCGGCATGGTCTTAAAATCACGCAACTTATTCCACAATACTTGATGAACCAAACTAATCCTCTTCTGACACGAAACTGTACTAAACTAATGTTGAAATGAATTTGTCTACATATTTTTGTCCCTCATAAAAAAGTGCTTATATTCAGACTTGTGTTCATTGCAAATAAGGTAAAAACAAGGAATTTAGTTTTTCTACTATTAACGCATTTGTTTATGGGGCAATGAAGTGTGAATTCGTTTTGTAAAGGTATTCAGGTAAATATTCATATTTGTCTATATACTTTTGTCGATTACTGTAAGTCTCTATCATTAACTAGAATATACTTATGAACTCCATTGACGTCACGGGGACAATCTCAGAAATAATATTGACCAAAAATTTAAGCCACTGAATTTGAAAAAACTATTATCTTCGTATTCAGCAGCTGATGGTATTACTTTTTCGCTCCTTGGTACCTTTTACTTCGTTTTTCGAGGAAGAGAAATAAAATTTCTTCACTTGTCGAAAAATTGTTACGGTAAAATTTTGATCGGTACTAGGGTACGTCGGATGTTATGAACATTTTGACTCTCCGTGAGTTTGCTATTATTATAAAATATAAGGGTGACTTTGAAGTTGAGTCATTAATTTTCAGATAATGATTGTAGAAGGAAGATAAACCAAAATATGTGTGTAAAAATAAAAAAAATTGAAAGAAAATGTTACCTTGTTTTATAAAGTATCCTCCCGACAAGTATGTCAGTGCGGACCTGTATTTGATCGTGCGGTCTTGGAGCACCGGCATGCCCTCCCCTGTGAGGTCTTAAGTCACCTGATTCACGAGCCCTTTGTACTACATTCAGCATTTTCGTAAACATGTGCCATTTTTTATTTCGTTTGAGCCACGCAACAAACACCACTATTCACTCACGCGTTGCCGACTGACACATCGACTGAATACAACTGAATAAAATTGTACATTGTAGTAAAAACATCGTTTCAAATTCTTTCGCTTTTTTGTTTCCGATGCGATGAACGGATAAGGCGGATTATATCCGTTGTTGCCAAACACGAGCACATAATCCTATTATTGAGACAGGGCGGTACTCAAACTTCTACTATAACTATGTTACTTTAATTGTACCAGAAAAATGTTAAAGGAAAAAACATTTCTTTTGATCAGATCTACTCACTGTTAAAATAAATGACTCAACTTCGAAGTCACCCTGTATACATTTCGCTGTACGGGTGTTTCAAATTTGACCCTCATCATTGCGATCCTGGAAACGGTAAGAGATACGACGTCGGTTGGAGGGCAAATGTGCGTATTTAGGTAACTAACAAAATGCCGCTTAGAAAGATTCGAAACTCCGATGAGAGACGGAAAAAAACAAAATTTCCCAAAATCGTCTTAATTTTTTCCTGATCTCATCAATATGACGTTTCGTTTTTTCCCTTCAGCATCAATTTTATTTTTTCTAATGGACGCCACACTGGATTTATGCACAGATAGTTTTTAATTCTGATTCCAAAACTACATATACGGGTGTTCCTTAATGATATGCGAATATTTAAGGATGTGAATCTATATGAAAAATTAATGTTAGTTTGCTTTATGAACTATGGTCCAAAAATGTTTCTTTACAAAAGCTCGGGGTGTTGAAGTTTTAGAAATAAAATGCAAATTAATTGATATTTTCAGAACCGCTTCAGACATTTCACTGATATTTAGTACGTAGTAAAAGTTAATAAAGTTGCATATTCTTCAATGCAAAAATAATATTCAGCTTTAACAGTGACGTACATACGGGTATTGACTTCGATATTTTTTAAGAAAAAAATGGTACGCCAATGGTTTTTTGCCAAATAAAAATTATTTTTGAATTCCCCGTTCAATTTGAAACAAAAGATCTCTCTTGAGTTGCTTTCCTTCGATGCGCCATTTTTGAGTAGAGTAGAGAAAATTGTGACTGTGACATCTTTTTCATTATTTAGTTTTTACAATCTTGTTAATAATGTTGAATTATGCAAATGCAGAAATGGCGGAAATTCCTTACGTGTATGGCCTTGCCGACGGTAATAGTGAGCAAGCCGGATGGATTTATCACCAGAGATATCCCGATCGTGCTTTGCCAGATAGTCTAACCTTTTCTAATATTCATCGTCACGAAAAGGAACATCTGAAGGTAGACCTCTAAGTGTGAGAACACCTGACATTGAGGAAGCAGTGCTGCACGAATTCGAAGAACATCCTGAAACGAGTACGAGGAAGATCATTAGACACTTAAATATTTGCCATCAAATAGTTTGGAGAATTTTAGTTGATTTTTTTTTATATCCTTGGCATATTCTAAGAACACAGGCATTATTTATTATTATTTTGTCAGTAGTATCTTCAAAAAATTATACAAGATCCGCAATTTGAATCAATGATTCTGTTCCACAATAATCATTAGTGGGCAGAAGAAAATCCCTATGCCGTAACCGAAACCCATTTCCAACACCAATTTGCGGTTAACTTATGGGCAGGAATGATTGCCAACCACTTTATTAGCAAAAAACTATTGGCGTGCCATTTTGTTTCTTAAAAAATGTCGAAGTCAAAACCCGTACGCACGCCACTGTTAAAGCTAAAAATTATTTTTGCATTCTAAAACATGCAACTTTATTAACTTTCACTACGTACTAAATATCAGATAAATATCTGAGGCGGTTCTGAAAATATCAATTAATTTCCATTTTTTTTTTTCGTAAAACTTCAACACCCCGAGTTTTTGTAAGGAAACATTTTTGGAGTTTTTAAAGCAAACTAACATTCATTCTTCATGTAGATTCACACCCTTAAATATTCGCATATCATTAAGGAACACCCTGTATATGTCATACATGGACATTACCAAAACATGCAAAAATATTTCCAAAAAATAGAATTTACCAGGTAGGCCTTGGAATTATTAGACAGTGATTTGTTTCATGTACCGATTTATCGCAAAATCGTTGTTTATTTCTTGGTTTTATTTGAATGGAATTAAAATTGGACATTGTATTAAAATTTTGCACAATCTAATACAGTTTTTGATTCTACTTTTAGTTAGGTATATTTATTTATGCCACGATAAATTTCACGTATTTAGTTAAAGTAATTTTATTCTTAGCAGTATTTAAATGTACAACATTTTAAATTGCGGAAGAACAAACTTCGCATTGAAAATTTTACTATGTCGTCTTGTAGAGGAGAAAAAGTGGCAGTAACAATATGCAATTTATTTTGAAATCTCATCTCAAATATAGTCAGGAAAAAATAAAAATGGTTTTGTAATATATACTAAGTGACATATAAATCCGAACACCCAGTTTAAATGGTTTTATTTTAATAAAATTTTGTATAAGTACTTAATGAAGCATAATAAGTAAATGATAAAAATTTCAAAATGATTGCACTGCTTTAAAGCCCTTTGACCTTTAATAATGTGTGGATGCACCCTGATGTGCTACGCAATCTCCAACGCGCCTGGGCATGCTTCTGATCAGGTGATCAATGTGCTCCTGTGGTATCTCAGTCTGAGTCTGAGGAGGACGTTGCAAATTGAGCAATCTCCTACCCATCATATCCCACACGTGCTCAATTGGGGATAAGTCGGGAGATCTTGGTGGCCATGGTAACAATGTGAATCATTATGTTGAAAGAAGTCTATTGTGACTCTTGCAACATGTGGTCGGGCATTATTTTGTTGGAAAGTTGGATCTGCCAGGGTGTCAAGATAGGGTAGAAGATGGGGTTCTAGAACTTCGTGGGTATACCGCTGCGCGTTCATGTTACCTCTGATGAAGATTAAAGGTGCCCTGGAACCATAAGCTATAGCACCCCAAACCATAACTCCAACAGTGTGATGAACATGTCTTTCAACTAAAAACTGTGGATTCCTCCTTTCACCACGTCGCCTTCTAACCCTGGAACGACCATCGTGCATGCCTAAAAAAAATCGAGACTCGTCACTAAAGACAATACTGTTCCATTCCTGATCCCAGAGTGACCGTTGTCTGCACCACTCAAGGCGATTACGTCGGTGTTCTCGAGTTAAAGGGAGGACCCAGTGTGGCCGGTATGAAAACAAGCCAAAACTTCTCATTCGTCGGTAAACACTTCGCATGCCAATAGATCTTCCGTGTTCTGCAAACCATTAATTTGCAATGGACCTGGTAGTGGAGAAACGGTCCCTTAAGGCCAATAATCTTAGCCGGCGATCTTCACGGTCTGTTGTTCTACGGCGGCGTCCAGTGCCCCTTGCTCTTTGCGTACGGCCTTCTCGAAGCCATGCCTGACAACACCTAACCACAGTCTCTACACTTCTTTGCACTTTAACTGCAATTGCCCGAAAAGAAAGTCCCACTATACGGCCCCTATCAAACTCACTAAGTTGACGAAATCGTACAGGTCTCCGTACTCTGGGCATCGTAACCGATCGTGAAGGATGTCAAGAACGAAAATCTGCCAACGTTGATTCTGTACTGCGGCTGAAATATTCATTTTTAGAGCGTTAGTGAATTAAAAAAAAGCAGTATAAAAACCGAAATGTCCAACTGATATGGCTGAAAATTTTTTCACTTGTTATTTACAGTAAGATAAATGCATTCATCAACTTTTATTAAAATAAAGTCATTTAAAGTGGGTGTTCGGATTTATATGTCACTTAGTATATCTGGCATATGAAGCAAATGACTATCTGATTTCAATGCCTACCTAGGAAATTCCCTTTTTTGAAACAACCAAGGTTCGACAATATCAATGTATCACACGTTATACATTTTTGAAATCAAAATTGAAAGCCCTATTCATCGGTGCAAAAGTCGGATATAGCGTCCATAAGAAAAAAAAAGTTGATGTTGGAAAACAATAGACGAGGCGTCATATTGAAATTCTGATTATGCCATGTTCTAGAGGAGAAAAAACTAGCGATACTAATTTGCAATTTGTTTTAAAATTCCACTACAAATAAAGTCAGAAAAAAATTGAAATCATTTTGGAAAGATTCTGTTTTTTCCACGACTCTCCGGAGGTAGTTTGAATTTTGAATCTATTTAAGCGGTGGATACCACATCGCCGCCACTTAAGCGACTTTGTATCTCTTACCGAGATCTCAATGGTGAGGGTCAAATTTGCAAACAATAAACTCTGATACCCTTTTTCTTAGAAACCAGGAACATGTATACTCATATTTAAAAAATCATCTTGACCTTGAAATGATCAGCTCGAATTCAAGGTTATGCCTGAATTGATTTTAATTTGGGTCATAGTTTTCGCTGCATCCGGACTTCTTGAACAACCTGTATACCTTTTCCTTTGATCTCTAAATGCATTTTCATGAACCCACAATCATAACACGGAACTGCATTATCTGCTTAATTTTCTGAAATATCTCGAGTGCCGATTTTTTTAAAACTATTGTCGGTTGATTGTCCAAATCGCTTAACCAGCCGATCAATAGGTAATTATTCTTTCCAGATTCTGGAACAAACATGGCACGACCGAAAGTAAAATTAAATGAGGATCCATACTATGGGCCGCTAATCAACGACTATATCAGCAAAATTATTAAATCCGGATTTTTGTTGGATGAAGATATGGAATGCATTCTCGACGAATTTACATCTATCGATCCACCTCCATCGCAGAGACACGAAATTCCTAAAAAACTGCTGCTCAGCTTTTCGTCACTGTTACTGTCAGGTCTTTTAGCTAAACACTATTCACCATGGATTCTTGTACCGTCTTTAGTTGCCACTACAGTAGCGACCGGATATGAAGTTTCACGGTATATTACTAAAACTAAGCAACCGCAGCTCATAGACAAACTAATAGAAGCGATTCAGAAAAAACTCGAACTGCACAGTCACATACTAAAGTTCATGAAACTAAGAAATCAAATGATGAAGAATCAAACGTTTACAGATATGTTGCCTGGCCGCAAGCTGAGAGACTTCGTAGATACATTTCATGAAAACCAAGGCACCTATATCAAGGCCCTTTTGAAGCATATACAAACCATATCATTTTTCTGTGACGAAATATCTGAGGATTACGCACAAATTGAAGATTTAGATCTGTCCAAACAAACTGCAGACAACGATCTTCAGTATTATCTTTACGTGAACAATCTACAGATATTACTTCATTCAAAAGTATTGAGCTACGTAGGTGTAACTCTTGGCTCAAAGTATACAAGGCTTTCCAAAGACACGGTTGAAGTTTTTTTAAACAAGAGAATTCCACGAATCATCGAACTCATCTTACGGAACTACAATGAGACCAAAAAAGGGTTTGATCGTCTAAAAAGGTCTGCTATTTTTTATGCTGAGTATAAAGAAAGGCCCAGGAGTGAAAATAAGTACCTTCATTCCAAGTTGAAGAGTGCTCTCACAGATGCTGTCAACAACATCTCGATCTTGCTTGATAAATCGCAAATCATCTTAGACAGGTTAGGTGATGGAGCGATAAATGCATTAGAGGATTCTATGAAAGACCTCAGAGCTCATTCTTTGGCTACCCACGAGTCTATTGATCTTTTATGTAGACTACATGGTATTGTTGCTAATGCTCAACCTGCGTCAGATGCCGAACCACCTAAACATCTTACTGTCAACAAGACATACGAAGAAAGAGTTTGTGGTAACATACGCTATGACGATATAGTCCCACCTGAAGAAGGGAGATATATGATTTATGTAGGCAAAGATCCTGAAGAAGAAATATCCAGAACTGCAAGAAACGATGTGGATGAGACGGTAGGGCCATTTTGCAGATTAACGCTGGAGGAGCTCCGAAGATCGTTAATGCAAAACGGAACGTTTATGGAAGCAAGAAAACGACGATTCAGTAATGAAAGTAGTGAAGAATTCAATGCGGATTCACCGCCAAAACCAGAATTATCACCAAGATTCGATTCGGAAACTGCAGATGTTCACGAAGAGCCCAAAGCCAAATCAAGCTCAGTTAACAGTGAAGACGTTTATAGTGGTAAACCTCCTGTACCTTTACCAAGGTCTGCGATGAAGACGACAAGATATTTAGATCAATTTTTTATGAAGGATATGCCTCCACCTCCTCCTATGCCTACGTTTAACCTGGGTAGGGGATATGAAGAACATGGAGGCTATGGAAACAAATCCATGCTGGAGGAGATAATGACGTTATCGAAACAAAGAGATGTCAAAGAAGATGTGTTTGTAGTTTCGGATATAGATTCTGACTAAAATCTAGTCATAGAAATTTTTTATGCAATTTTAAATACAATTTTAAAATAAACGATACTATATTTTTAGAGCTTTTTTGTATTATTGAATAAAAACGCGTGAAGACTGACTTAATTCAGCAGTTGATCATTTCGAGATGTGGTATCAAAAGTTTGATGCACTATTGAATCGAATACGGTTTCATAATTTTGTCGAGAACCCACGCCGCGGATATCGCGAATTATTTCAAAAAATTTGAGTTCTTATCAAGTGTATTTCATATCAAACGAATAACGATTTAGAGCACAGCAAATTCTACATACAGGGTGGCGCATCGAAAGCGAAACAGACGCGTTGACTAGCAGCTCAGTTTTTTTTTTTTTGGGGAAAAACGCTCAGACCCGCCGATTTTGTTTTCGAGGGGGACACAAGTTTGGCAAAAAAACACGTTAACACGTGCAGCCCCCTGGGCGAATTGAAAGACCTTTAAAATAAGGTATCACTCGACCCTCTTTCCATTTAAGATTTTGGGGGTGGTGTCACCCCCGCTTAGAGGGCTGCACGTGCTAACGTGATTTTTTGCCAAACTTGTGTCCCCCTCGAAAACAAAATCGACGGGTCTGAGCGTTTTAAAAAAAAAACTGAGCTGCCAGTAAATGCGTTTGTTTCGTTTTCGATGCGACACCCTGTATATTGTAATTCCCGAGCAGTATTCGCGAACATCCACAACTGCCAACATAGTCTACCATCCTCCCAAATAAGTTAAACTTTCGTATTTCACAAATTCCGAAGTATAACTTCTAGGTAATTCTCTTGGCCACAATATACATTGTAACAACTCGTTTTCACGGATCATAAAAAAGTTGTTATGACAAGTCGCATTCGCCTTTTGCGCGAGCTGAGAAGTAATTCAGTGTTCCTCGGTCATATGAGAAAATAAAAGTGACTAAATTTAAGGCAAGTCAAATCCTAGAACGGACATGACAAAAATTGCTGTGTTTATAGGGTAAATTGTAGCATCCACCATCTTCTTTAAAATAATTGATTTGAGTCTAATGATGATTTGAAGTGACCTTATTATATGTTTCCATCAAAATGCACACTAATATCTGATACAAAAAAAGCTATTATCAGCACAAGATTGTACCGTCAAACATATCGCGAGCTACATGGAGTGTGGTAGTATATTTAACAGGTCATAAACAGCAATCACGAAATATTTCAGTTACAGATAGAATGATACTTTTTAAACGCTCTGAAGAGATTGCAGATAAGATGAACTTAAACTTTAGAGGAATTTTCCGAAATCTATTGTGGAAAAAATAATAAGAACAACCAATTTTAGTAATTTAAGTGTCTAGGTCAGGAATATCATGATTTACTTTTGTATCCTTTCACCAATAAGGAGTTTTACGCGTTGGTACGAGTACATACGAAGTTAAAAAATAAAATGTCATCTGGAGTTGATGAAATTACGCACTTTATAGTAAAAAGAGCATTAATATATATATATATATATATATATATATTTTGCTGGGTACTTCGACAAAATTTAAGCAAAGAGGACTCTTTATACTTTTTTTAATTCTCTCTAGCTTTCAATGGACTTTGCCATCATCATCAGGAGCTGCAATTACAATGATAACAGTAGCAACAAAAGTGTAAAATGAATTTAAATTGAATCAACTTACAGTAGTATGTGAGGATGTTGCTGATTGTTGTTTTCGTATAGGATGAGGGAAACGTCCAGTAACAAGATGAGAGCTGGATACATGGTACAATGGTTAAAATTATATAAAATATGACAATACAAGTTAAAGACAGATTAAAAATTATTTAGAAAACATTAGAGCATTACGTCGTGAAGCCACTTGATGATTGCACAAAATGGTGGTCATGGAATAATGAGTGAGATGAACCTTTGACAGAAGGCCGAAGGTTGCCAATGTCTGTGTTGAAAGATGGAACGAATTGTGGGCCTGTGCCAAAACGTTGCCAAATCACTTCAGATGATGTGATTTTCAGAATGTTATGTAAGAAATTGTTAAACCGACCAGAGGCAGTTGAATAAACTATATTTTAATTAATGGGAATTTTAAATTAATAATTATTAATAAATCGTGAGAAGAGAATTATTAGATTTTGAGTGGAATGAAATTTGTTGGTGGAATCGGCCAAAACACATTTATGGTTGTGAAAAGTCGAAATTTGGGGAGATATGTAAGTTCTCCAATTTTTCGCAGTTTATCAAATATGAGTAAATGACACTCAGTTGTTTAATATCTGTCTTTTTGTTGATACAGTTGTTATTCATGAAAATGTGGGACATTTCCAGGAATAAACGTTTGGAAAGGTGTTTTTCTTTATCAAGAACTTTGATACTTGTGTAATTCGTAGAATGCCCTGTTGTGTTAACATGAGATGCTAGAGCGCATCTTTCAGGATGAAGCCTAGCATCTCATGTTAACACAACATGGCATTCTATGAATTACACAAGTATCAAAGTTCTTGATAAAGAAAAACACCTTTCCAAACGTTTATTCCTGTAAATGTCCCACATTTTCATGAATAACAACTGTATCAACAAAAAGACAGATATTAAACAACTGAGTGTCATTTACTCATATTTGCTAAACTGCGAAAAATTGGAGAACTTACATATCTCCCCAAATTTCGACTTTTCACAACCATAAATATAATCTGTGTTTTGGCCGATTCCACCAACAAATTTCATTCCACTCAAAATCTAATAATTCTCTTCTCACGATTTATTAATAATCATTAATTTAAAATTCCTATTAATTAAAATATAGTTTATTCAACTGCCTCTGGTCGGTTCAACAATTTCTTACTTAACATTCTGAAAATCACATCATCTGAAGTGATTTGGCAACGTTTTGGCACACGCCCACAATTCGTTCCATCTTTCAACACAGACATTGACAACCTTTGGCCTTCTGTCAAAGGTTCATCTCACTCATTATTCCATGACCACCATTTTGTGCAATCATCAAGTGGCTTCACGACGTAATGCTCTAATGTTTTCTAAATAATTTTTAATCTGTCTTTAATTTGTCTTGTCATATTTTATATAATTTTAACCATTGTACCATGTTTCCAGCTCTCACCATGTTACTGGACGTTTCCGTCATCCTATACGAAAACAACAATTAGCAACATCCTCACATACTACTGTAAGTTGATTCAATTTAAATTCATTTTACACTTTTGTTGCTACTGTTATCATTGTAATTGCAGCTCCTGATGATGATGGCAAAGTCCATTGAAAGCTAGAGAGAATCAAAAAAAGTATAAAGAGTCCTCTTTGCTTAAATTTTGTCGAGGTACCCAACAAAAGGCGGAAGCTTTAATTTTTCACCTAACTGGTCTAGACGACAATGACCACGTCTCAAGTTATATATATATATATATATATGTATAACCAAACCGTTTGCTTTCTTAATGAATTTATCTTTTGTAATGGTAAGTTTTCTGATGTGTTGAAGAAAGGCAAAGTTGTGCCAATATTAAAGAGGGGACCCTGCCGATATGAATAATTACAGGCCAGTAACTGTACCTTTATGCTTTTCAAAGATATTTGAATACTGATTTTCGAAAGATTACGATCAAACATTGTCAAGAATAACGCATGTACTAACTGATGAACAACATAACATGGTTTCTGTAATAATAAATCGACCACCACAGCGATATATTGTCCATTATATGGAAAACTAATTGATCTGATTGAGGCTGGCGAGTATCCTGTTGGGATCTTTTGTGATCTCAGCAGGACATTTGAATGCGTCAGTCATGAAATATTGTTAAAAAAACTACATGGTTACGGAATTACTGGCAGTTCTCCCACATAAATAGTATCTTTTTTGGAAAATAGGTCACAATATGCTTCTTCATTACCCAATTATGGTACAGAAATAAAGCAAGTCCGGTAATCATGCGTTGATATTGATATGGGAGTTCCCCAAGGATCTGTATTGGAGCCACTTTTATTTATACTGTATATAAATGATCTGGGTGAACTGCTTAATGGCCATGTAAATTTTACATTGTTTGCAGACGATGCCTCAATTATAATCTCAGAACCTCACGATAACGTATTGGTCACTAAATTTAATAACATTTTGAAGCATAAGGAAAAATGGCTTTATAAAAATATATGAATAGTTCTAAATGAAGATCAACTTATCAGTCTATATTATCCATAGGCTGAATCCAGGCAGAAGTACGGCCTTTGCTTTGCCTTGACATTTTCTTTTATTCTGGATAATTTAAAATCTTAAACATCTTAAACCACATTACCCACATATCTTTGAATCTGTCAGAAAAAATTGTTCGATTTTTTTATTGTCTCATTGCAAAAGACACAACCCTCCAATTTTTTTACAGTGGAATTCTGCGTTGAAAGAGATGATAATAAAGTTCATCATGTTAAAAAACATTGCAATTATTGGACTCACAAAATCAAATTTAGACTTTAAAGACGTTTTCTTAAGTCGATGTTTAAGGTTAGCCTCCTTAGACAAACTGTCTCGAGGTATGGACTCCGACCAGCCGAAATGAACGGCTCTCTGTCCGAACTCGGCCATCCATTAAAATGATGAACGTTTCTAAAACATATCCATCGTATCCAAATTATAAACATTTCCCGCATACGCGTAGGAAATAAAAATCTTCCGTCTGTCTGGGAAATCCGTCAGGACATTTTATTGTCTCATCGTGCATCCACAACAAGCCATTCCCTGCAGGCCGGATACGGAAGAACAGTTGAACAGTGATGAAGCGCACATATAAACCAGTCCTAGTCGGCCACGGAACGCGAAATAATGCGATAAATCACCAGAGGACACGGCAGCGCCTCCAATTCAGGTACAGGACCTGAACGAGATTTTTTCTGCTGGAGTCAAGAATTTTAAATTAATTTCACTTCCTACGCCACTGGGAGAAAAAGAGTTGCAATCGCAAGATATTGTGTTTTTAAGATGTTATATGACATCACGGAAAGCCATGTCTATAACACGATGAGTACTTCATGGATTTTGATAAAATTTTCGAAACAAAAAACGAAAGATC